ACTGCCTTCTCAGAGAAGGGTTTCTACTGCTCCCTCTCAGCCAGGTCTAGACTGACCGCCGGGACCATGAATTTCATGTTTGATCCCATTTGATCTGATTCCATACATTTCTTGGTGTGAATCCCGCTGGGACTAATTATTAAATAAACATGCAAAGTGACTATATATCAGATCTCAAAATGAAACCATGACTTGAAAAAAATGAGAAAGTGGTCTCATTTGATCTCATTTAGTCTCATTCTTAGCATAAAGTTACTATTTTTAGACATTTTAAGGTTTTTTTTAGACTATTTTTAATTTTTTAAAAAGTAACACTTTTTGATAATGCTCAAATAAGATTTAAAGCTATTTAAAGCAATAAAAATAATTTAAATTGAGAAGTGGAAATCATGATCTCATTTGAAAAATGTGACAAGAGTAGACAGTAAGTCTCACTGAGATAGTATGAGACTACTATCTAATGTTAGAACTGTGTAATAAGATCTGTCGAATTGACAATGAGACTATCAAAAATTCTGGTCCTGGTCCCAGACACGGTCACACGGTCAGTCTAGCCAGGTCAACCTGCATCTCAAAATCCTGCATTTCCTGGTCTGCTGCCTCGGGTTCCACCTCAGTAGTAAGCAGATTAATATGCTCAGAGAGTAGAGCTGCCTTCTCAATGTTCTGAATCATGAAGTGCTTTTGAGATCTGAACAAGGCCTTAATTCTCTTCTCTACCAGCTTCTGCTAATCAATTAGAGAACAGAAGTATTATTAAAAATTATTATCTTTCAATAAAAAACTTATCAGTTTTGACTTCTTTGTCTTCTACTCTAATATCTTCTCAATCTTCTTCTATCACTGTTTATTTACAGTAACACTCTTCTTCTCTCTCTCTCTCTTCATCTTAGTCTCAAATCATTCTCAGAACTTCTTCTGATCTCACTACTACTGTATGAGAATCTTCACTATCTTCTTTTTCAATCTCTCACAGATGATGTCATTCACATTATTTCTATACTTAGTTCAGTCTAAATCTATCAGAAGCATTACTTAAAATTATTATCATTCTACTTTCTTACAGAGTCTCTTCAAGATATTATAATATGTCTTACAATCTGTCTCTTTATGCTTAAATGTCTTCTTCTTCTCTCTCTTCAATCTGTGACAGTGCTCACGCGTCTTGGTGATCTGCAGGACTGCAGAATATTTAAAGAGAGATGACATGATTGATTTTAATGAGTGTTAAGAAGAGAGTGAAGACAGGCAATGATATAATAATAATAATAATAATGATAATAATGATGATGATAATAATGATGATAATGATGATGATGATGATGATGATGAAAGAGAGAGTGCATCAGAATATATTATTGACTTATCAAATATAAAGAGATAAAGAAACTATTAACAGCTTTCAGATATGTACAGAAACAGCTACAGTGTTGTATAGTAATATTATTTTCATTCAATACATATACTATTGATATTCTTTGTATGCATTTATCATATAAGAGATACATGCAGAAAACAGATCTTTGTTGCTAGAGAGAATAATTACAGTAATTCTCTATTTTCATATTATAAAGATAAGTTATTCTTATTTCTTTCTTCTCTCTTTTCTCTTCTTCTTCAACTCATCACTAAGTTCAAGCTAGTATGAAAACTATTAAAACACTCATAGAAATTCTCAAATTAAAGAGTATAGACTAATCAAATTTTAAATACAGATGAATTAAATTAATTCAATAATACTAATTATTTATTCTCTTCTTAATATAATAACAGTTATATCTTTCTCTTCTTCTCTCTCAAATGAAACATGACTCATGAAAAGCAAGTATCATGCCAGGTTATAATAACTATCACAGCCTCAGCATGCAGAGCTGTATACACACAGTGTATACTGAACTGAGAGACTGTGTGAATTATAAACTAATAGCAGCATCTCAGAAAGAGCTGTGCAGTGTGAGAAAGCTACAACTCTCAGTTACATGTGCAGAGAGTGAATCACTGTAGTAAGTATATATATATTGTATGAAAGTAATGCTTTTTAGTAATACTCAGTCTCTGATATTATGAAAATAGAGTCTCTCTGTGAGATCTGTTTTTATCAGAAGTTAAAGAATCTTATATTTCTCAAGATCATCTTCACACATCTTGTCTGTGAAATTGATGAAGAGAATTATTAATTTCAGTATTCTGTTCTTGATATCATTCAAGTGACAGCAGAGTTCATCCTGATCACACTTTTTAAGTGTATATTTTCTAATTATTCACATTTATACAGATATATACTGATTATTTATTAGATGATATTAAGACAATAACTCATTACAGCTGTGTTATTCTCACTGTGAGAGATACACAGTTAGTGATAAATATTATAAAGACTCTGAGAAGTGAGTATTTTGAAGATGTTATAGCTCTGTAATCTTAATTTTTTTTTATTTTTATTTTTTATTTTTTTCTTTTTCTTTTCTTTTTTTTTTATTGTGATTTTTTCTTATATTTGTTTTGTTTTTTGTATTTTATTTTTTTTTGTATTTTATGTTTTTTTCATAATTAAAATTATATAAATTATGATCTGTGTTCAGAAAAGTAATAATATTTGATAACACTCTCTGTTGAATTTTTAATAAATGAGCACTATGTTATAATATTATATAAGTGAGAAATGATTTCATAGTCTTATTTAATGTCATTCTCAATAATAAGATCAGAATGAAAATGTGACTAAGAATTCAAACATATTCTTTATCTGAGACTAGATTTTTATTTGAAAAGTGAATCTGGAATCTTTAATATTTGAAATAATGTGATTTGAGATTAATGTGATGAACATAAATCATGATCAGAAGTAATGCTTTTAGGCAATGTGACAACTGTAAAGTTTGATCCTGATCTCAGACATAGTTACACAGTCAGTCTAGAGAGGTTATCCGGCACTTCTAATATGTAATTAAAAAATTGACCTGTCTGATATACACCTGTGACAAGTCTTGCATACCTTGGTGTGCTGGCATGATATGTGCGCAACTCATACTTGAATTTCCACTTTTTTGAGAGACTCAAGAGAAGATAGATCAATGATATATGTCTTCTATTCATTTTCTTATGCTTTTAATGCTCTATCATCACTTTGCAACATCTCAATCATCACAACTAGAGATATCTTGAGAATGATGAAAAAGAAATTTCATCACAGCAAAATGAACAATGAGGTCAAATAACTGATGTCTGATCAGAAATGTCTGACAATTGAATACAATTAATCACTATCATTGTGAGCTCTCTCAACATTATCAGTTTTAATGACTTACTGACTTAATTTGCTGTTTGTAGATCATATGAACCCCCAGTCATCATCATCATGATAGGATGCAAAAAATACATTATTTCAGAGTGTTATCTCTGGAAGTACCTGCAGTGGAACAGAAATTTGACTTGGAATTCATACATCACACTCCCTGATGTTGATGAGGATATTGGTCACACCTTGGTGCATTTTTTATATACAGGCATCTATGAGACACTAGGCTCAGCACCTGATCCAGATATTTCCTGCACCGCGAGAGAATTCAGAAAGAGTGCCCTAGTTTATCACATAGCCAGAACATACAATCTACCTGAACTTGAGACACTTGCTAAGAAGTATATTGAACATTTTGAGGAATCAATTTCTATTTTCAATATACTACAGGCGGTGAGAAAGATGTTTTCAAAGCTCTCTGATCATCAAGTTTGACTTCCCAGCTATATCAAAACAAAACTTGAGAAAGTGTTTGTGTCTGATGAAACAACTTTCAAGTGTGACAAGTTTCACTGCGAACTTGGAGAGAATCAAGTTTTTCACAAGGCTGTGATGAGAATGATTGTTGATATTTACTCTGCCTGGTTGTTGTTTATGTGAAGTACCCTTGACAGTCAGAAGAGCTGCATTGAAGCTGGAGCTGAGGATCTTCCTGCTGACAGATATCTGGATAAAATGTCTCCTGCTGAAGAACATGTCACTGAAGCATATCCTGTCAAAGATACTGCCGCTGAAGTGTATCTCATTGAAGAGTGTGCTATTGAAGAACCTTCCACTGAAGCATATCCCGTCGAAGAACCTGCTGAGGAAGAACCCGCCCCAGAAGAGCCTTTGTTTGAAGACTGTCCTGTCGAAGATCCTCTCGCTGAAGACCCTCCCCAAGAAGAGCCTCTCACTGAAGCATATCCCATCGAAGAGCCTCTCGTTGAAGAGTGTCCCATTGGAGAGCCTCCAGCTGAAACGTATGCCACCGACCAACATCCTGCTGAAGAACCTCCCTTAGAAGAACATCCGGATGTCAGTCTCTATGCTAATTGGAAAAAGCTTTCCCCAAAAAAGAGGCTGAAAAGACGCAAGATTCTCCAGAAGAAGGGCCTTCCAATCCCAAACTGAGATGGGACCTTTCCGGTCTCGAATGTTACTAGGGTGTCAAAAGATGATGATGAAGAACTAGATTTCATTTGAAGGTGTCTGCAGATGTTTCAGTTTTTCTATACATTGGCGCGTGGTTGGTATTTTTATACCGTTTACCCTTTCTTATGTTTATTATGCACTTTGAAGGGGCTGAGGCCCGGTGTGTGTGTGTACAGTGAACTTTAGAAAGGCAGAAATCCAAAAATCCAGGTAAGTGCGACTGCAACCTTAATCAAGATAAAGACGATTAAGAAATGTAGAAGTCAAGAAATTTACCCCTTTCTTCAGGGCCAGATATAAAATTTGCTGCTGCGACGCTCACCTTTTTGCTTTGACAATTTTGGCTATAGGCGCTCTGGCTTGGGGAGAACCACGACATGCAAATTTTTCAAAATAAAATAAAAATAAAAGACCAGCAGCGACGCTGAACAACGTTTTCTTGCTGCCGGCTGCGAAAAAGTGCATGTGACACGGAAATTGTTCCCTATCATTCCAAAAAGAAACGGCAGACATCAATATATTTCAGGAGGGGCTCGGGATCCTATTGATTTGATTCTTTTCATGACTTCAACCGGCGTGCCTGACTGCTCCATGTTTTCTTTGCTAGCTTTAGGTGTTCTCATCTCGGAACATTCTTTCATCGCAGGATCGAAACCAACGTTCTCGTTATCCATAAATATGGGATCACATTCCATCCAAGTGGGTGGTATGTCTGACATATATTTATCCATAAGCACGGGGCGATTCTGATTCGGGGTTGCGTGAGAAGGATATCTCCCGCTCTTGCGGCTTCAGCTTAGAAGCATCATTCAACACAGTCTCTGAACACATGTCAGCATATGCTCCCAGTTTCCAGTTGAGATATCAATTACCTTGTTCCTGAACAATCTTTTTACCATCTTGCTTAGGGCTGGCACACCCACCTGCAGTGTCTTCCGAGTGATTGGATTTGGAGGTGGTGGAATCCGCCCTGGCTTCGCGAAGAGCTTCTACGAGTTCTTTCTCATCGGAATGCTGATACCCATATCCTGTTGTCACACTCTGCTGGGGACTTTCATCGATGGGGCTGCATGGAGGCGTTTGGGCCGGCGGAGTATTGGCAGGGGCCTTGTCGTTGAGCTTCATTGCTTGAGGCATGGTGGTAGTTGATGATAAAGAAGTCTTGGAAACTGGGTCTGGGTAACTGGCTTGGTGAGGTCTGTGAGTGTCTTGAATGTCTGTTCATTGCCTCAGGATTTCGGGGGAAACTGTGCCTCCTTATACGCCATTCTGTCGACACTCCTGGCACCTATTCTTTTGTCGTCTCCCCCTTCAGCTTGGGCCACGTGGATACGGGAGGAGCTTGCCGTCGCTCTCCCAAAGTTAGGGTGTATAAAACTGTGCCGCAGGATACATGGTCTCGACCTAGTCGATGTGATATGACAACCCGCTGGCGAAAGCTTGCCGTCTTCTGCTTTGCATAGCGAATCACCCAACTATCCAGGTTGTGCTATAGGACTCGGTCTCGATCTCGTCGGACTTTTGTCGATCTGAGAACTAGCCGTGTCGAACTGTCCGCGGCACATCTCGCCGTACCAGAGGTTGCCCTGATATCAGAGATGCTATCAGCCCATGATGGATGGAAAATTATCGCTTCTGTTTGGCGGTCCGATTGGCCAACAGCTCAGGAAAATGAAATCTAGATGGCAAGTTTGTTGTCCCTGAACCCTGTGCAGCTGGAACAATCGATTAGAGAGAGTTGTTGAAGGGCAAAATTGTGGCTTGCAGTATCATTATAGCTCACCCCTTGTCAAAGTGGTAGTCAATGAAAGGTGGCTGGCGATCTGCCGCTCGATGCTACAAATTCGCTTATTGATGAGGCGCCAAAGGACGAAGGATGATATTGCCGCGAGACCATGGTGCAGGGGATGCTATCAGTCCGCTTGGGTCTGATTGGTAAACATCTCAGGGAAAAAAACCTAGATGTTATGTTGTTGTCCCTGAACCCTAAACTGAAGACAGTCGAGGGGGAGAATCTTGTCGTAGCTTGCAGTAGGGGAAGATCCCGTCGAACCATATTACAACTACATCAAAAAAGAAAAAGCTGTCCTTGCTGAAATCTAGTGACTAATAGCCAGCAGCAGAAGGTACGGAAGTTATGGGAGCTGCGGGAAAAACAGGAAAAAGGGAAAATAGGGGACTAGTGGGACGAAGGCTGCAGGAAAAACTCGAACAGAGCTCGATTATTCCGTTTCTTCCGTTTCTTCCATCCGTTCTGTTTCTTCACCAATCCTCTTGCTCGTTATTCGGAAATACCGTGCCGCCAACGCCGTCAAACAAAGACCCTCTCATAAAATCGCTTGAAGGGGAAAGAGTCAATGGGAGGTTTATGCCGGATCATAGTTTCTTGCTGCACCAGTGATTTTGCGTTCTCAAAGAATAATGGCTCTCATTCAAGGTTATCTATTTCCCCTCCGTATCAGGCCCTTACTACAGCCTTGTGCGAGAGAAAAAATCCGTCCGGCCCCTCCCCCAACAAAACCTTCCCTTTTCTCCTGAAAGAAGAGTCAAACGACTTCCCAAAATTTGCACCATCATCATTGTATTATTGTATTTGAACCTTATCGCATGGAGAAATCCCTCTCTATATCAACTGTGAATGTTTCAACTCTGACATTGTCAATAAACTCTCCTGACTGCATTACACTCCGAGTTCTATACTCTACAGAGTAAGTCACCTCCTATCTTTTCTATGCCGTAGCTAAGAAGTCACTAGGAAGCTGACTTCCACTCTAGAATTATATAGAATGGCAATTCTTTACATCGCTGTATATAAACCCCGGCAGACCCTAGGAACATATCATTGGACTCTGTACCTTGAAGAAGGGGACTCTCACTTGGTGTTTCAAGTTGTCAGAAACCCGGGTCAATTTCAGTACCAAGAACTCTCCAGCCGCCCAGAAAATACCGATCGCCATGTTGAGAATATCTTTGTGGCGGATATCGTGCGGTAGTTAATTCCCAGGCAGTTGATAATGAAACCTACCATTGGGGCTGCCAGCAGTGGGTCTTCGATGTTTTGGAATCTTTACTCGATGACAGTATCATTACGGACTATGATCATGGTGAGGCTAAACACAAACTGGAGATGATCTTTCAAGTTGAGATCGAAGGTGATGAGTGATGAGTGCGTAATGCCTGCTTCCTTCTGTCTAAAATTATAATTCTAATTGGATAAGGTTTTCGAAAAGGTTTTCGATCTACGGTTTGATAAATTGGTCCGACAACAGCTTTGGAAAGATGTGGTTAAGTGCCAAGGTAGTCCAATAGCAAGTTTTGCATAGTTACAAAAAGGTCTATCTATGACACGAGTTTCTCAACGAATTGATCAATAGCAAACTCAGCAAAGTACATCCCCATGCCCTTATGTGGAAGAAAGAAGACCCAATCGCCCCTGCGTACAGGTAGCATTGTATTAAGAGACTTTAGAAACTCCCAATACTCCGGGTAAACTCCGCCTAGCTCCCAGTCAACAAGCCCGGTCACTCGAACGGATTGATCTCGCTCCTTGCTAACCATTATATTCCGTGGATGCAAGTCACCATGTGTCATGACAATTCGGTGATCATTGCGTAGCATAGAGTGCACAAACTCAACATAGGCTCTCATTGTAGGTGGGTGGTTACCTGAGATGAGGAATTCGTTGAACTGAGCTTCGTTCTCAATCTGTTGTGGACTTACCCGCTTCCACATTCTGCAGTCAATGCAGTAAGGTGGATTACCACCACCAAGGCAATGAGAAGATAGAGGGAGCATCCTAAGTTTCTCTAGGATAACATCTAACTGATCTCGGATAGAAAATTTTTCTTCCGTAGAGAGGGAAGACCAGAGCTTATCCAAAGATGAGCCTTCAATAAAAGTCATGAACATGTAGGTTGTCTTGCCGATAGAAATTGCTCCTAAGGGATGAGGAACTGGAATATCCTTCGAGAGACTCTGAATATAGGCTGTAATATCGGCGTCCGTTAGAAGCAAATTATGCCCAAGCTTGACAACAATCCGTTCATCAAGTTGTATGACGGCCCGTGAAAAATGGCCCCAAAGCACCTTTCCATTTTGCAAAGCGCGCGAGAGAGCCAAACGAACTGCGAGTTGATCGTCATGGTTGCTGCTGGATAAGCAATCCTGCTCACAACCATATTTCCGCAAAAGCGTATTGACTTCAGGCGCAAGGGGCCGAAGAATGACCGGAATCTCTGCTGGGATTAAGAAAGCCTCTTGAATTTGGCGTGTATTTGGAGTGTTGCTGCCACGACCTATACAGCAAGATTAGCATTGTTTCCTCCTACGTATGAAATACCTAGGTCCTTACGTACAGCTTTGGCTCTTCCTACCACATACCTCCTCCAGTTTGCGACGGTCTGATGGGTACTTCCGACCCCATCTTATAAAGAATTTACTGAGATCGGCTGATCGATTCCAGTTTAACTTGGTACGTAGTTCAGTCGTTGCCGACTCATTCAGTGCAATGAAGCCTGAAAGAGCATCTCCATCTTCGTCGCAACCCCCTTTTCGTGCAGCATCATCCAGCTCGGTAGAACAGAGGGGCGTAACGGATGACGTTGGAGGAGATTGATTCCTTCCGAAAAAGTAAATAACGGGTAAAGTGAGGACGAGTGCGGTGCTGGCGCCGAGAAAAAAGCTCAGGCAAGTGTCCGGTCTAATGAAATTGCTAGACATTGCTTCAGAAGCTCCCATTTGGCTGGTGGTGCGGTTTAGAAGGACATGTTTCTCGTGCGGCTCTGACAGCTTCAAGTAATATCCACGCTCCGTCTTTCTTCCAGAGATCCTTGCCAAGCCTGTATGGCGGCTTCCGTCACCTGACTCATAAATTCCTGATCCGCTGTTACAAGGAATGTTTCTCAGCAGGGCTATACGATTCGAGACGAGCTCCCTCAAGACTTTCATGTCCATTTCAGTATTCGATACAGTCTATCTAAAGTAGCCTGGTGAAGCCAAGCAAGTCAATTTAGATAGATAGGGGTTACTAAATAGAGTTTAATATCACGTGGACAAGCTAACGAGTAATCACCCTTGTATTACACCTTCGTCTAATCAGAAACTTAACGCATTGGTGCCTAATTTGTTGATTATTATTATTATTATTATTCTTCAATTATAGATGTACGCAGTCAGAGACTATGACATCTACCTGAGAACTTTTAGTTCTCAGGGTTTTTTCTATATCTATAAAGTTAACTATTATACATTTATCAATTTCAGATATGTAAAATCAGAAAATTTCAGCTCAGAATATAAAAACTGTTTATAAATTACAGTATTTTAACATCTTCTAATACTTTGAAATTATTTAATAATATCATGACAAAAGAAAAGAGAACATAGTCTTAAAGATAGACATATTAAATAGATAAATAGAAAAGAACAGAAGAAAAAGTAAAGTAAAGAGAGATTATAATAGAATAAAATTATTAAAAGATAGTATATAGCTGTTTTAATAGACTTTATCTAATCAATTTTCATCTCTTCATATTTAAATATTTCTGAATTCAGTTATTTTCTTATAGCTGCTAGAGTTTCTGATAGAAAGTCTATTAAGTGTTTAATTTCTGTCTCAGTTGAGAATAAGAATCTCATATTTAATTGATTTAAATCATACTTCTTCTTCAATCTGACTCTGAGATTATTATATAATACATAATATATTATAATATACTTAGAATTTTCATTTATATTATAGAATAAGCATTCTGTTGAATTAAATCTATTATTAAATATTTATATATAGAATTTAAAATAATCATATTCTAGTTTCAGCTGAATTATAGATGAGAATATTTTCTTTTTACATTTAATTAAATAAGATTTTTACTTAGATTTTATTTTAAATTTTGAATAATATATACTCTTCTTTTATTTCTATCAGCTTTTATTTCACTTATTTATATAAGATTCTTTTATCTTTCTCTTTATAAAAGATTAAAACACTGTTTTTTGAATAAATTTATTTAATTCTGAATTCTTTTTTACTGCTGAATCAGTCACTTCATTGTCATGAATACTTATATAAGTAGAAATTAGTGTAAATAAATTATTAGTTTTAATATTCTTCTCTTTTAAATTTTTATAACAGAATTTAAAATCAGTTTAAGATTCATTTAATTGTTATAAATCTGACTATTTTTAAGTCTTTTCAAAGCAGCTTAACTATCAGAGAATATTCATATCTCTTTCAAGCTATTTCCTCTTTTATAAGATTTTATCTCAATAAGTTTGAAAGCTTTTACTATTATAAATAGTTCAGTATTAAAGACTTCAGATTCACAGCTCAAATTTCAGAAATCTGAGATGAAATTGATATTATCTTCAGTATAAGCAATGTCTGTATCTAATCTGTTTAAACTCTCATTTTTTGAGTCATCTGAGTAAATCAGAATAGAGTCTTTTATATTAATTGTAGAAATCTTCTTCAAATACTGTTATATTCTCTCTCTTTAAATAGTTCACTTATTTATAAGTCTATGAGATATTTCAGCTTTTCTCTTCAAGAAGATATCTTCTTATGATCAATTTTCTCAACATTTAATGAAGAAAATTAATTTTTAATCAATGAACATAATCTGTACAGTTGAGAGAGTATTTTCTTTAAATAATTATTCTCATTTCAATTAAGAAATCTATTTCAATTCAGTTCATTTTCTGAGTTAATTAATCTAATTTGTTGATGATTACTACATCTACTGTAATCACGTGTTACTCAACTTATATATAGTTTCACTCTAGATAGATTATAGATGATAATATTATTCTCTAACAGATTATAAAGCTCTTTGTAATAAGCTGCGTCTGATCATCATATAGACTATTTCATTACACTTCATAGATTCCGCTGAAAGCTCTGATTCTCAGTCATTCTCAATTGTTAATTCTCAGCTGAAAAACTCATGAAATTTCTATTCTTCTGCTCTGAAGCTCCACTGTGTATATCACTGTGTATGTGAATAAATATTCACTTCAATCACTGATTCTTGCACTTTCTCTTTCTTTACTTCTTTAATGTTTTTCACTTTGTTATATAAGATCTACAAATATTATACTGATCTATTCAGTATAGGTTTCTTACACTTGAAAAATGTTCATTATCTTCTTATTAGAAACAATTATTCATTAGAAAGATATTTACATATGTAACAATATGTAAGAAATAGAGAAATGATTAAACAGTTAAGCAGATACTGAGTCTTAATCAGTTAAGTAAAAACTGAGTCTCTAGATAGAAGCTTACTCATCAGTCATTCTGACCCTGTAACAAGATCTCACAAAGAGAATATTGATGAAAGACTTGAGAGTTCTCATGCCTTAAACATATAAGAGATTTATATAATTACATTTCTTCTAATTCTGTAGATACTACACATCTGATGAATGATATAACTATGTCTAATAATAATATAAGAGATCTCTTGAATATGAGTATAGATACAGTGTCACAGTGACTTCAAGCAATGTTGAAATTACAACAGCAACAGATAGTCAATATGCATGTAACTCAATAACATCAATACAAGAAAATTCAACAATTATCTTGACTAGAAACCCCTGCACAGACAATTTCAACACTGACAGAATCAAATATAAACACAATACAGACACTGAAGAAATACTTAGATACTCTTATATATTTCAATACTTCTAATCTCACTCTCTACTCATTATGAAGATTGAAAATGCTTGTGAAACTAAGTGTAGATGAAGATGTCATCAGTTTACTAATCAATCAAGATTAATATATTAATGAATAATTGAGAGATTTCATGAAACAGAAGTTTTATTCATGAATGAAAGAATATGAATCAGCAATACAAATGTCTGATAATATTATCAAATATCTTGATGTTCTGTTCTGAGACACTATTATACAATAGAAAGTATTAGATTAATTACAGAGTGTCTGACAGAGAAACACTTCTCTCATAATATTCATCTCTGACTTCAATATTAAGATTCTAGAAACAGGTGATCAATCTTGAAAGAATCAAATGAAGATTAGTATACTCAAGAAAACATTAACTTTCAAACTCTTACAGACTCTTATAAGCATAGATAAAGACCAGACTTGTAAAGATTTCTACATATAACTTCAGACATTGAATGATTATCTTATCAAGGTCAAGAGTATACAGAACAGTGACAGAAGACATTACACTTCAGTCACTTATACACTCATACTGAAGAATGATGATGCAGATGCCATGAATTGAGTGAACTTAAATATTTATATATAAGCAAGAGTCTCTGCTATCTGAACAGGCTTCTGAGTTTCTGAGATCACTTCTGAAGAAGTCACTGACTGACATTAACATGAAATGTGTATCAATTGTAATCAATCAGACTACATCATCTTCAACTGCTGATCAGTCTATGTGTCTTCTCACTTAAGAGAAAGATCAGTATCTTCTTACTTAAAGAATGAATCAGCATCTGTCTGCATCAATTATATTGTATTAAGGAAAGATTCAGAAGATAACTATAAAAACATCTCAATGAAACAGAGAAAAGATTAACTTCTATTTAAATTCACAAACAGAAGCTTGAAGAGATCAGATAATAATAATTTCAAGAAAAGATGATAATAAATGCAATTTTCATATCTACTGTGATGAATAACATATATAATATAAAGACTATGATAGATAGTAATCTATGTCACTATGCAATGATTAAATCTTCAGTTGTAAGATGTTATAACCTTCAGTGTATTCTCTTATTAAAACCTCAACTTCTCATAGAATTTGATAATTCAAAAGATGTTTGCATCTGTAACATGATAAAACTAAACGTAGATGTTAAAGAACATTAACATGAAGATGTCTATGCATATGAAGTTGATAATCTTGACTATAATTTTATGCTAGAACTTATCTGACTATCTGAACAAGGTATCTTATTGAACACTTGAAACAGAAGCTTGATATTCTCTAACAATGATAGAATTCACAAAGATAATATTTATAAAATTATAAATCTGACACAGATCTCTATCAATTTTTATGAAATGCTATGAAAAAGAAGTCACTGATAGCAGAATCATGTGACAATATATTCTGTCAGTCTGACTGATATCAAGAAAGCTCTAGAAAAGTTATCTTATACTATAACAACAGATTCTCATATCAAACTCTCTTAATAATACTATAAATATCTAGATGTCTTCTGACAAGGCAATATTATAAACATACTTCTCTTACAAGACTCAGAAGTGAATCACAGTATTAAGTTAGAGAAGAAGAATGATAAAGATCTTAAATCATTATAAGATTCTCTTTATAACATATTCTGAGATGAACTTCTTCTTCTTCAAAAGACACTCAATGATCTGTTGAATAAAGAATTCATACACATTAGTAACTCTTCTGTCACAGCCTCTATTCTCTTTGCAAAGAAATCAAGTGAAGGACTTCAATTCTGTGTGAACTATCAAGAACTGAATAGATTAATAAAGAAAGACTGCTATTTCTTATCTCTTATCAATGAAACTCTAGCTCATATTAAACAAGCTCAATGATTTATAAAGCTAGATATTATCATCACATTTCATAAGATCTGCATCACTGAAGCAGATGAGTGACTTACAGTATTTTAAACACAATATGATCTCTTTAAATGAGTAGTCACATTCTTCAGACTGACTAACACTCTCAGTATATTTCAGAAGTATATCAACTGAGCACTTTAAAACTTTCTTGATAAATTTGTATCTGCATATCTTGATAACATTCTCATCTTCACTGATAAGTTCAGAAAAGAATATCAAGAACATATACAGAAGATATTATAATAACTACAAGAAGCAGAACTATCAATAAATATAAACAAGTATGATTTTAAGATTAAAAGTACAAAATACCTAGGCTTTATCATAGAAGCTGGCAAGAGAATCTGAATGAATTCTGAGAAGATCTCT